CAATTCACGTGACAACCCCATCCGATATGAAATCGCAATTGGAACGGATTGTATCAAAACTATATTTTGACATCATCGAAAATTGATCGCTTGGAAGGGCATGTGACCAGCTTTTTCAATACAAAATTTTCACACAATATTAGATCATAAGGATATTTTCAGGTGAAGGATTTATAATTTCCAATACTTAATATATTTAAAGGCATCGGGAAAAAAAAAGAAATATGGATCAACTTGAGATACCAGGACCATCCAGAAATGGTCATGTAACAAGTTGTACTCCAGTTATGGTAAGTAAATTGCGCCAATTTGTAACAGGTGAGACTCCATGAATACAAAGAACAGATTGAAAAGCCTTACACCTGCCCCAGGCAACAATATCCAACATAATTAAAAATTATCTCTGTCTGAAAATGCGATACAAGTCACGTGTACACAAGTTGCTTCCACCATATATCCGTTCAACTGTCACATACCTCAAGCAGTTGTAGAATGAAACGGATATCTGTACTGCTCCATATAAAGACATACTGGGCAAGGATTTCTTTGTATTTGGACTACGAAACTGATGCTTAGAAGCGGTAATACTCTTACACTACATGGCTAATTGAAAGCATGAAAGGTGAAATGTGATTTGATATGACAACTTTACGACAGAATATTTTGTGATGAAAACTACGCTGCAGGACTATTGTCAAGATGCACGGCTGTCAGATGGAGCATGACCGGAGGTTGTCACATAGCATTTAAAGACTTGAAAATTGTTTTATGTTACGTATTCAACCTCTGTGCTTATTTAAGAGTGACATTTTAATTTTATTACTCAAAACATTGCGAATTGTATTTTAGAAGAGATGAAAGAATATTTCAGTTTTACACATGTATAATACCTTAAAAGAAGTCTCGGCATCGCCTAGTGTTTAGAATGCTGGATTACAAACAGAGAGTTCCAGAGTTCGAACCTCGACACAACTAAATATGCTTTTCATATTCAGCTTTGGTACTTTATAAGAGCAACAGTTAATTTCATTATTCGGCTTAATCAGGACAAAGCCCTTGTGACGTTGGTTGTGTTGAATAGTTGCCTTCCTATTCAATAGTAGCTTAAAATTAAGGATAGCAATACCTGAACTCTATGGAGTCTTTGACCTGGCCACTTAGCACATGTAATGCATAAGACCGTTCAGGTTAAGAAAAAAATTAAATACTGTTTTAAGAATAATTTCAAATAGTTGGTGCCTGACTTAGGCCTACCCGACAGCAAACCGAGTATTTATCATAGTATTTGTTATAGTGGTAAGTCATAGCAACATTGTGGTATTTATGGACAATCCGTTAAAACTTAATTAATTTCAAAATATGATAATACTTTGGAGTTTAATATCGAGTTAAGTGATCTTACGTAAAACGTAGATAATTGTTATGGGCGTATTAGGAAGTAATAACACATGCTGCTTCAGTAAGTGTCCACATAAATTACCAGGTAAAAATATATACATAACATGAATTCAAAAGTTTCACTGATGAATTCATATTCTAGCAATAATAGTAAAGTAATGAGAACAAGAATGTAGAATTACAATACATTTAGGACTGGTCTATTTATCTAAGAAGGCATTCTCGTTTTGGATAACCATCTTAGGACTGGTCTATTTGTCTGAGAAGTATTCTCGTTTTGGATAACCATCTTAGGACTGGTCTATTTGTCTGAGAAGTATTCTCGTTTTGGATAACTATCTTAGGACTGGTATATTTGTCTAAGAAGCATTCTCGTTTTTGGATGATCATCTTAGGACTGGTCTATTTGTCTGAGAAGCATTCTCG